GTAGACAAAAGTTGCAGCGGTGTGAAACGGTTGTTCTCAACTCGACTCAAGTAGGCTGATGGTGTCACCTGTGACTCAGCTTGTCAAGTTGCCAGTAGCTGGTTGTAAAACATAAGGCATGTCACCTGTTTTTACAGCCAATCAGTTTGTAGCAAAGTCTGTTTGCCAAGTCGGTAAACTGTCCGCAGATGGCGTGTTCGCTTGCTGCGTCATTCTCTGACAACAGCCCTCTGTCCTCCCCGACCCTGAGTAAGGCCCGGGTCACACTGCATGCGTGAGCACTGTGTATGTATCGCAGAACCTGTTGAGTTTTTACCAGCGCCTGTGTTAACAGGTTAGAGCAGCCACATGCCCGCGTGAGCAGAGCTGCTCAGGTACACCACATCTAGAGATTACTACCTCTGACTAATGTCTTGATCACTCACAGACATAAAGAAATATACATATATCTGTTTTGCTCAACTTTTCCTGTTTCCATATAAAAATAAAAGCACTCCTACAACATTTCTGTGGACAGTATCCGTGATTTGTTAACAGGAGGCTTTTAATTATAAAATATTTGCAGTACTGTGTTGTTGGCAATGCAATGGATTGCATGGCTCCATTGGCTTTTAATTGTGGAAATACAGTAGATACAGCAGCAGGCACCTCTGCAGCCTACAGTTCACACATACAGTCACAACACTGTATATGTGAGCACATACGAGCACATGCGAGCCACAGCAGTTCAGCGAGGTAGCCATCACGCGCTGCTCACGCATGCAGTGTGGCCCGGGGCCTAAATCTCATTTACAGGATACAGGATATCTTTATTATCCCCGAGGGGCAATTTGTTGTGCAGATAAAAAACAAACAAACAGATAAATATACAATTAATACATAAATAGATGCAAAAAAAGACCTCACACTGTGTTAGTTGCAAAGAAATAATACAATGATAGGGTCAGGTGAGATTATTTAAGAAGAGACAAATGAGTCGTTTTGCCTATTTGTCCTGCAAGCTGGCATTTTATATCTGCGGCCAGATGAAAGCAACCTGAATTGACTGAATAAGGGGTGACTGGGATCAGCCAGGACTGACTGGGCCCTCCTTAGTGTTCTGATCATGTACACATCAGTCAAATCGTTCAAGATTGTGCCTGCAATTTTGCTGCAAACCTTTGCAATGGTCAGCAACCTGTTTCTGTGCTTCAAGTTAAGTACCCCACACCAGCAGATAAAAGAAAAGGTGAGAAGTGATTCAATAAAACAGGGATAAAACACCTTCATCAAAGTGCTGTCAACATTAAAACACCGGAGCTTGAGGTGAGAATACATGAGCTGATGAGCTTCAGGTGCACACAACGTCCACTTGAAGCTCAAAGGTCAGCTTGTCATCCAAGATACTTACACTGCTTCACAACCTCAACAGCCTCATCACTGATAAAAACAGGAGAGATGATAATCGGACTCTTCCTAAAGTCTACTGCCATCTCCTTGGTTTAGGTAGACTAATGTTAAGGAAGGAAGACTTGCACCAGTATTTGAATTCTGTCACTACCAACGAAATATTAACGTTGTCCCGTTAAGTATGTAATATAAAGTTACATACTTAACGTTAAATTGAGCCTGGTCTCACTCCAAAGTTGTTGAAATCAGGTGCTTGGGCAATGACTTGCAGCGTCAGAGAGCAACGAAAAAGGCGTCCTTTAATGTCATCATGATAGGCGGCTGATTGCAGTTATAGTTTATAGGTGCCCGGTGGTGTCAGGGGGAAATGCAGCAGGACAAGGACAAAAGTTAAGGCGGTGAAAGTCCAAATGGGGTGGCCGGTAGGGGTGGTGGATGGGTCCAACAAAAACTGACTTTCACCCGAGAGAGTGGTGTTCGCGTCCAGTAATATTCTAAAGCTAAACCCTGTTCTTTTTTCCCTAAACCTAACCATGTGCTTTTGTTGTTGAAGGAAAAAAAATCTTGAAAGAAGACAATGTATGTAACAGGCAGAACTTGACACAGTGTCCCAGAACATCAACCAACACACCCAGGGTACCTTGCACGTCGTATGCGGATGTGGAAAGTCCATGACCAAAACATCAATATGTGACAAGGTCAGAGTGAGAATGTGTTGTTAAGTTAGGTAGGTAAGGTTTAAGAAAGTAAAGTTACATAGGTTAGCTTTAGAAAAAGAAACATGGTGGGGCATTGTCCTGTTATGTGCTTAACATTAAGTTACATACTCAACTTAAAGTTATACAGGTTAGGTCAGGGGTAGGCAGCCTGTAGTACTGCAGAAAAATGCAACACTTGAGACCCTCCAGTGGCTCTCTGTGGCTTTGACAAAGAAAAAAACATGAAAATGAACGTTTTTTTTTAAAGAACATTTTCACAGATATTTATCATTGTTCAAAATTCCTACATTCTCTGAAGTTGTAAGATGTGTATCTTATGCACTGAATTTAACAAAAACAAAACAAAACAAAACAAAAAAACAACATTTTATCAACTAAAACGTGAGGCATATGTCTACAGTAAATCCACGGTTTAAAAGTACTTCATTACAGGTAAAAATTCCTGCATTCAAAAATGCATTTAAGTGAAAATATAAGCAACAAATCAAAAGTACTACTCTCAATGCAGTGGGTACAGTTAAGGTTTTATTATGGTATTATTGGATCAGCATTACTTATGTATTAATATGTAAGCAGTGCTTTGCTGTATAAACTGGTCACGTTTTGGTTGTATAATCTTATACTTATACTATTCTTATACTTGAAAACTAGTAACTAAAGCTCCTAAACAAATGTAGTGAAGTAAAAAGTTTTTTTTTTCAAAAATGTAGTGGAGTGGAAGCATAAAGCAGCAAAAAATGAAATACTTAGTTAAGTATTTAAATAACTTAATAACTGTACTTAAGTAGAGTATGCTTGAGTAAATGTACTTAGTTGCTGTCCAACTTGCTAACATGAAAAACTAACATGAACGTGAACATAGTAAAATCATTCCTGCTGAACATCTGCATGTTTACAGAACCACTAATGTTTCTGCAGACTGTTAATTTTATTAGTTTAGTTTCTGGGCAAGAATGGTAGCTCCATGGCACAGAGGAAACAGAGGGTGGTGAAAACTGCTTATGGAGCTGCCATCCATGGAGGACCTCGACACCCAGCGCTGCAGGAAGAAGGCCATCAGGATTATCGGAGACCTTAGCCACCTCAGTCACAAACTGTTCCGCCTGCTGCCGTCTGGCAGACATTAGACTATCGCACCACCAGGCTCAGGGACAGCGTCATCCCACAGGCTTTAAACAGGCCATAAGACTTTTAAGCACTGGAGCTCCTGAGCTTATCACTTGACATTTACTGTTATATACTTAACTTACTGTTTTACTAATTGTTCACATCTGTGTGTGTGTGTGTGTGTGTGTGTGTGTGTGTGTATAGATTCTCATTTTGCTTGTACTTGAGTGTTTTAATTGTCTCCACACTAGTGATAGCCGTGGCTGGAGGCATTTTGTTTTTGGGTTGTCCGTCGGTCCGTCTGTCCCATTCTCATAAATGCGACATCTCAAGAATGCCCACGTGGAATTTCTTCAGATTTGGCACAAATGTCCACTTGGACTCAGTGATGAACTGATTAGAATTTGGTGGTCAGAGGTAAAGATCACAGTGACTTTGCGTCCATCCAATTCTCGTAAACGCGATATCACAAGCGGACCTCGAGGGAATTACCTCAAATTTGGCACAAACATCCACCTGGACTCAGTGATGAACTGATTAGAATTTGGGGGTCAGAGGTCAAGATCACTGTGACCTTGTGTCCGTCTCATTCTTGTGGACGTGATATCTCAAGAGGTCCTTGAGGGCATTTCTTCAAATTTGGCACAAACCACCACATGGACTCAAGAATAAACTGATTAGAATTTTGTAGACAGCATTCAAGGTCACTGTGACCTTGCGTCCGTCTTATTCTTGTGAACGTGATATCTCAAGAGTGCCATGGGATATTTCCTCAAATTTGGCACAAACATCCACTTGGACTTAAGGATGAACTGATTAGATTTTGGTGATCAAATGTCAAGGTAACTGCAACCTCAAAGAACAAGTTTTTGCCCATAACTCAAGAATTCATGTGCTAATTATGACAAAAATTTCACACAAATGTCTAATAGGATAAAATGATGAAATTGTATATCCAAAAAGTCAAAGGTCAACTTCACTATGACATCATAATGCTCTGCAAAAACACTTTTCTGGCTATTAATCAATGGCATATCTCAGGAACAGAAGGGGGAGACATTTGGTCAGATACAGAGTTGGTGAAACAAACCTTGGGTGCCCATTTTGAAACTGTGCTGATTGTATAGATTTTCTGTGCTGCAGGGTTGAAGATGTGTGTGAAGTATCAGAGTATGTAGCTTCTTCAAACCAACATCCACATTTGAAGTATTGTCAACTTTCATGGCTACATAGGAGCCACATGGGTGTAAACCGCAACTTGACTGATTGGCGGAGGCATACAGCAGCAAGGCAGTAGTTCTACTTTTTTTCTTGTTTTCAATGTATATTTAATGAGCATTGCTGAGGGGAGTCTGAGAGCCAAGATTGTCATTGCCAACAACTGCTTTTCTTTAGGCTCATTGTTGTGCATATGATAATAAAGAACTTTCAATTTAAAAGGCAAAACAGGCGAGTCAGTTCATTGATTATTTTTGGTCTATTCTTGTTTTGGCAATAAATTAAATAAAGAATTTGACTTAATGGATCCATTTTTAAAACTCTAAGGTGTCCCAGACTCAGCCATGCAGTCCTTCCTGTTGTATGGTTAGTGAATCATAAAGTTGTGATCGCGGTTGTCAGCGCTTTTATACCCAGCCGTTGGGAGGCCACGCCCCCCACGTTCCCACCACTCACAGGGCAGAAAGTGATTAGCTCATCGCGGCTGTCAGTCACGCCTATCTACCGTTGTTTCCTGTGTGAGCCAGTGGACTCGGTCTGTCTGCAGAGAGTCTCCGGTATGGGCAGCCGCCTTACCCCTCAACTTTTTACCGGAGATTTTACCACTGTTACGGTACATTTGACACGGTTTATATCCTCTGGAAATGGATGTCTGACCGGAATAACCCGACAGTGAGTCCGTCGTGAGTTAATTCGACCGCTGAAATTCATTTTTTGTTGTTCGAGTTGTTGAAGGAAGAGGGGGAAAATGCCAGTTGCAACTCTTCTGCCTTTCACCGCGACCCCGAATAGGAAGTCTGCCAGCCCGACCTCTTTCAGGTTGACAGAGAAATTTATTTTGTTATTAGTCTTCAGCGCTTTTATCACCCTGTGTTTCGGGGCCATTTTCTTCCTACCGGACTCGTCCAAGCTGCTTAGCGGAGTTTTCTTTCATTCCTCCGCGGTGGAGACCAACACCCGCACCGGTCCGGACAGCAGCGACCCAGGTTCGGCTGGAAACGACGAGAGGGTCCTGGCCAAAATCAGGAAAGACCACGAAAAAGCTCTATTAGAGGCCAAGGATACTCTGCAGAAACGGCCCGACGAGATAAAACAAGACATTTTAAATGAGAAGAACAAAGTTCCGAGGGAGAGTATGGGTCAAGGTGGGAAGGATGTCAATAATTTACCTTCCGTTGAGTACCACCGCCCGCCGGGGGCGACTGGACACGAACCTGTGGACCCCGAAACCAAGGAGAGACGGGCCAAAATCAAAGAGGTAAGGATCTGTTGAGCTCGCGCACTGTTCCTTCTATGAAGAAACATGCCGCGCCAAACGCCGCTTTAATTCTGACACATTAAATTTGCCTTAGCGTAGGGCTGTTGATATTCTCTGTATAACATGACTCAACAGCTTACACGAATCTTTCACATCCCCTCTTCAATTCGGCTTACATATAACACACCAATAGAGCACCTATGTGAACGAAATTTGAACTTTTACATAATGTTCACTTGTTATCTCGAAAGTCCTCTCCGCGCACAGCGGTGGCAGCGAGTGCACACCAAGTATATAACTCATGTTTTTGCTGAACATAGTGGATCACTTGTGGCCGAAATGCGTAAAACATCTAGTACTGTTTAGCTGAAGCGCTTGTGTCAAACACGTACACCTGCCGGTGGATCTGACACATTGATTTAACACGTTTTCCTTTCCACGAAATTTAATAGCAGTCAGTTCCTGGGGATAAAGAAGGAAGGAAGGAATGCAGGATCCACCGCCCCCCTCCGGGCTGATATACCTGTCTGTCAAGTTCCCCGTATTTGGATAGTACAAGGCTGGGGCATATCCATCTGTGACTAGTCACCACAGTGGGATCAGTGGGGATGTGGAGGATCTTAAACACCCCTCAGCCTTTCACAGATCTTAATATATGACCTAGATTTACATTTACTCCACAGTTCATAACCTAAAGATTGGGTATTTTAAGAGAACGTGCAAATTTACGCCTCCCTTGAAAGCCTGACATGTTAATTGTCATTCATTTGAGTCATAATTCATCCCCATTTTTATTTACCGAGACACTCTCCCAGTGCCCCTGTGTATGACTTTTATTCAATCGCTTGTGTGTCCCCTGATGTCCTATCATTACACACTGGTGAAAGCAAAACTGTACCCTGCAGCAGTGTGAAAAACACCAACAGGTACCATGTCTGGCATTTTTGTGTTGTGTCACACTGCTTGGTGTGTGTGTAGGGTTTGGAGACAAGTAAAAAAGCCCAGTGCTGAGGTCTCTGAGGTGGTTTCAGGTGGCTGCTGATGGTGTTCAGTCGTGCTGCTGCACGATCTGTATTGTTATTATCCTCACTAGGAATTTTAATGAAATCTAGATGCAAATGTAATATCCTAAGTGTAATTTTAAAGAGGAATTTTCCCATGGGACTTTTGAAGAGCAGATGCTGTAGATCTGCTCAGTGAGGTGACTTGATTTCCATTTGCTCATTCAGGTGGTTAACTGGTAGACTCAGGCAGAGGACCTTTGAGTGAGTGAGCAAATAAGGGTTTGGTGTCCTGGCTGAACACATGTGGCTGTTGTACGGACATTCATATGGACTGATATTTGCCTTTCAGTGAGAATCATTTGGAAATGAAATATCTGCAGGGCATTGTGTGGCCCTGGGAGCTGATATGAAGGAGGTCTGGATTTGACTTCCTTGAGCAGACTCCGGGGTGTCCGGGGATTGTGGTCAGTACTGACAAAATTAAATATCACAGTGAAGTATTTGAGTGCTCAGGGATGACTCTTTGATATTTATATTTTAAAAGATTATGAATAGCAATAATTGGTAAAGCTCAATTAACTATAAAAGTCTAATAAGTTAAGAAAATCTTATCAGTGCAGCTTTTAAGACCCCCAAAAAGACAAGATTGAACTTAATCGCCATATTATGTTTTAAAATTCCCTACACCACCCAGTCAGATACCACAGCATAATATTTCATCGATATATCGCTCAGGTGTCAGGTTGTTAACGCCACCCTGAAACCTTAAAAAACCATAGCGTGTATTTGGTATTTAAGACGCACCGTTTGCTATACTGATGGGGCACGTTTCTGACCTTAAGATGACATCATCTGCCACTAAAAGGTCATGCTGTCAACCACACGAATGCGGCATTAAGCACATCATATCAATCAGGGGTCATACTGTGTACAAATTACAGTTTGCCAATAGTGTGCATTCTCCTGCTAACTGATTGTCATCACATAGGCGATATCACAGATATATTTGACATCATATCGACAGCGGTAAACACACAATCCCAGGTGTAATTACTTCAGTTGAAACACTGAGCCCACCTTATCAAATTTAAAAGACATAAGCATTAACTTAAATAAAGCTACTTCCGAGTCTTTACTGTGCCAAATACCAGCGCTTAAAGTTGAATAAGATGACATTAGCTTTCTGTCTTTAATCTCTAATCCTAACAGTTTACTTTACAGATACACTCCCTTTAATTTATAGCAAATGTTGTTAATTTAATGAGCCCAGCAGAGCCCCTGAATCTCAAATTTCCTCCTTCCCAGCTCTCTGTTTATGTTTTGAAATTTAACCGTGAACTGTGTGACTTGCCAAACAGCAACAGCGAGTTGGGAGTAAAGTCAACATAACATCAGTCCCAATGAAAAGCAACTGTTTTGAAGATTTCTTGTTTTGTCAAGGCAGTAATCTGTGTTTATAGAGTTCAGCAGAAACACAGATTGTCTCGCTCTGGGCTGTTTCTTAATATGGGCAAATATTAAGTTAAGTAACATTTAGGTCAATACATGTTTTCCTCCGTTGGCTTCATCATCTGAAGATCTGTAGTTGACTTCAGTTGTAAAACAGATAGGGCTTTAAAATGTGAGAATGAGGGGACCAAGGTCACTGTGAGGTTAGTGAAAACTGCATCTTATGCAGATGTGCATCGCTATGGGATTTTATTCCTTTTTATATGCTGTAGAGCAGGCTCTTAAATGTAACAGACAAGACTACTCTGACTGAACGTATTTCTCACAGCAGCTATAACAGCAGTGTTGTAGCCAAGGCCACCTTAACTGAAACAAAGTCATGCCCAAAACCAGAGTGTATTGAAACCAAGTCAAAACCGAGACCAGACCAGTGCAAGTCCCACACCGCATGACACACTTAGATAAAATGGGGAACATTCAAACCATAGGTACTCCTCAAATTGATCTGAAAGATTCACTTCTCTATTAAAACACCCATAGAAAACTGATGATTACTCATCATTCACTTCTTTTATTTCCATATACTGTATGCGGTATGATCTTACCATGAGAAACAAACACCGGGGAGCCAAAATCAACTTAACCATCTCTGGTCAGCACTCCTTGTCCTGGGCGAGAGGCAGGGTACACCCTGAACAGGTCACCAGACTATCGCAGGGCTGACACATAGAGACAGACAACCATTCACATTAACATTCACACCTATGGCCAATTTAGAGTCACCAATTAACCTGCATGTCTTTGGACTGTGGGAGGAAGCTGGAGTACCCGGAGAAAACCCACACTGACATGGGGAGAACATGCAGACTCCACACAGGGGGCCTCCCCCACCCCCACAAGTTATTACCTTTTTTTTTCAGTTTCAAACAAAAAAACTATTTAATCTAGAAAGGTAAATTTAAGGTAATCTGTTCATCTCATTTCATTGATTTTTATTCTCTAGTGGACTGAAGAAACAATTGAATTTATTATTCTAGTAGGCTGCCAATAGTATAATTTGTATTCGCAGTAATAGTTTATATAGCCTACTAAAAGATTGATAGTTGATGTCTATGTATCTATACAGTGTTAACACACAAATATATTGCAATAATATGCTGTATCAGTTTTTCCTCCCACTCCTAGTCCTCTTTGTCTGAGACCGAGACAAGTTCTAGAAAAAATGTGGTCGAATCTGAGACGAGACAGAGACCTTCAAAAAATAGTCTTGAGACCGGTCTCGAGCCCAAGATCAACACTGGTAAACAGTATCAAGAAAACTATGTTAGAACATTGACAACTATTACATATAAAATGTTTGGTGCCAATGAATGGTTACTCTGATGCTCACCATTCCTGTGTGACATCTGTTTAGATTGTGAGATCAGGGATTGTCAGAGAAGAAAAACAAGATTGTCCATCCGTAAATAGCTACATCTTAATCTCTGTTTGCTCAAAGTAAACCCACAGTGTTGCAGAAATGGTCCATGACAGTGTAGTGTTGTACAGCAGGGAAACAAATGCAAAAGTCATGGCAAATACCCAACCTAATGACGCAACTAATGAGCACATTTTGAACTTTGGAGAGCATGTGTAATGTTTGTAGAACTATGGGAGAAATACAGAACAGAAGTTTGTTTTATCTACTCAGCATGACACAGAGATGACATACTCACTTACTTTTGCAACTAAAAAAACTCAGAAAACACATGTATTGTAACTTTAAAACGTAAGACAGGATCTGACACAGTACAGTGTGAATCATTATTATTATGTAATGTCAGCTTAATAGATTTCTGCAGAACAACAGTGAGGTTTTGATCAATTCTAAAACAAATACTTTCTCAAGCAAACCACATCATCCTGGCAGAGCAACACATTTGATAAGATATGTTTAAGTAAATAATGCCTGCTGTGTCAATGCATATCACCTTTTCAGTTACCTTACATCTACATTCCTGTTTTTGTAATAAGGGAGACAACATTAGAATAAATCAACAAGGAAAACGTAAAGTGGTTTTAACAAGCAGAGGTGAGTTTTCATTTGCCTTTATTCGTGGTCACAGTATTGACTAAAGCCTTGTCGTTGTGGTTCTAAGTGAGTTGACAAGGGTGAAATACATGAAACCTGCTTGTGTGTTCTGCTTTTGATAGGAGACAATGGGACATGGTGGTGTAGTACGTTCGAGATAATCAGTTTGTGTCCAGAGAAGACTACACATACTGTCCTAGACGCCACCATCAGTAAGACATCTCAAAGTCAAAACAGAAAGATAAAAAATCTGACGCTTGTGATTGTTGTCAGAGTTTCAACATGTTTGATGCTTCATTGCAATACCAGCCTTACATTTTCCAAGTCTCCCTCCAGACACATTTTAATGAATGTAAAAATACTCGGGTATGATATGTTTTGTTTATCATGGTTTCCCACATATAAAGTAAAAAAAAAACCTCTGGAAAGGGAAGCACATCTACGTCTTATCCGTCATTGAGATATCATGGATCTGG